GGGAGGGAGCTCTCCGAGGGACAGGGACTATTGAGAAAGGGGCTTTATGAGGGGAGGAGCAGGCAGCCGTTGACTGTGGGCATGGGGCACCCTTCCCCACCTGGCCTATTGCCATTACGTGGGCATGGCACGGATAAGTAGATAGCAAAATTTGGAAGAAGGCAAAACACAAATCACTCATTCGGTTCAGTGCACTGTTTCTTCCACAAAGGGCGGGACAGTGGCCCACTAGTGAACGTGGGGAAGGATGTGTACAGATGCAGCCGGGCTGCACCTAAGCAAGCAGAACAGCCAGAGCAGAAAGCACGCTGTGATGGCTGATGCATTAGGAACCCAGTCAAACAGGCAGGGAAAGAGAGTGCTAGATCTTCCTACTGTGAACATACTGGATGCTCAAGTAATATTCCTTTATTAGGGTTTGATAACAAGATGTAAATATGCATCTACAGGCTCCCAAGAACAAGGCTAATAGTAGCAACATACAAGAAGAAACAAATTTCTCCACAAACTCCGGGAGGTGGTAAAATGACTTCCATTAACGGAAGTAATGGAGTTCAGGGATGAGGAAAGGCCTCGGAAGGGCCAGTGAGAGAAACCCAGTTGTGGAAGAGACTCAGCCCTGCTTCTGAACACTGCTCCTTCCACAGATAAGTTGGACCCCAGGGAAAGAATTGCCAAAAGGCAATCACTTGCCTACACCCCATTACCCACAATTGGAATCTTCCCAGGCTGCTCCCACAGGCCACATTAAATAGGTGCCCCTTAGCATGGGAGCAACCCCAGATTTGCATCTAAACTGTTCTTTGAGATGAGGCTAAATGTCAGGAAGTGGAATTGTACAAAGTTAGCCTGGAAAAAGGGAAAACACAGATGTACAAGGGAACTCAAAAGTTTTGGCATTCCTATACCCTACACGCAAGAAAGGGCATGACTTCATTTAAAATGAGTAATGTACGCAGAGCCGGCCGGCTTCGGATATGACAAAGTAAATATTGAAGACTATGCGTGGATCGTAGCTAGGTGCAGCAATTTAATTTCACCAGGAGCAATTATTCCAAGAGGGTGGCGTGGGAGTGCTGTCCCTAAGCTACCCACCTCCAAACCCAGGGTGACACATCCGGGAAGTTTAAATACGGAAAGGCTTTTCCTGTGACCACTCCTCTCCCGCTCCCTCCAAAAGCAAGAACTCCACACTGTACTCTCGCTTCTGAGGATCAGATCCTTCTAGAACACTGGGGCTTAGACACCGCTGAATAATAGCACTTGGTTGCATAGCAACCAAAAGCTGAATTCTGTCGAACCGATGCTGGGGATGGGAACCAGGAAATGATAGCAACATTGTGTTGTCAACACTAGAACCCCAAGGGAAAGCGGAACTGGGGTCCTGAAAAGGGGGTTTTTGTTTTAGGAGGGGCTACAAAAAGTGGCGGTGAGGGGATCAATATCCTCATGAGTTTCGATCCTAGCAGTCTGAAAGCCCCGGTTAAATTCCAGCACAAGGCTGAATCACATCTGTGAACCCCAAACTGAATATCTGACTTGGGAGGCAAATGCACTAAAAAGAACATACTATGAGAACACTTCTTTGAAACTAATGGGAACAAAATAGCATGTGTGGGCAGAGAGTGGGGGGCACTAAGATCTCACCTCTTGGGAATACAAGTTGTCCATAAAAAGGAATTAGCAATGACAAAAAAAAATGCTCAGCTAACTCGGAACTCAAATCTTCTCTCACAGTCTAGGTGGAACCTTACACATCAAATGATAAGTATGGAAAATGTTATGTCAGCAGGGAATTGTTCTTATTAGCAGCCAGATTTAAACAGAAAATGATTTTTCCACCTCGCGGTAACCTATTACATAATTTTTTAAAAGCCTGATCACATCAGTCAGTTTTTCACACTGAGTGTACTCGGTTTTAGCATCCCCCCCCCCAACCACAGCATTGTGCACATGCTAATGCGCTTGCACGCCTCCAGAAGGAACACGTGTTTATTTTCGTTTATTTTTACCTTGCCATCTGGAACAGTGTCGTCAAATATCCCCTCTAACGATTTCTTTACAGCATCGGTTCCCTCTCCGAACACCTGCAGATAGGAAAGTGTCCTCTTAAAAAAAGAAATCTGGGCAACGGGGCAAGAGGAAGCATCAGACAGGCTGGAAACGCACAGGGCTTTGGGAAAACATCACAGCAGGATTCAGGCCCTCCCCGATCCCCGAGAACGTCACAACTTAAAAGTGGAAAGCCACAAGAATCAGGTCCCAAGAGACCGAACTTCCCACACCCTTCATAGTTCAAACATACAGAAATGGTTTGTGTTTAGAGTGTGGACAATGTTTATAAACTTCATCTGAGTTTAAAAGGAAATTCGCAAAGGCCATGAAGGAGACCCATTCACGAAGACGTCACCTCATAGACCTAGGCAGCAGCTACGTACCCATAACTGCACTGCCTTTCAAAGTCACATCTTTCTGCAGAACTAATCAATTTATACCTTTTGTGTTTCATATAAAAGGTAGAAAGGGGTTTTTTCTTATTTAAAAACCAGAAAACTTCCTATTTTTGAAGTTTGATAAATTGTGTAACTTAAAGATAAAATGGAAATGATTGATACCCAAATACAGACACAAAAAAAAATATATATGCAGGCTATTAAATGAGCATGTACCTACCACCAGGATAAAGTTGATAGCTTTTTTTAAATCCACTGTAAATGAGGCCATAGGAACAGAGAATTTTTGTCTATTTTAGAGTCCTGAATTAGTGATCCTATTTCTATTACAATATTTATGGCCAAGCAAGATTTTTTTTTTAATTTACCTTAGGAATTACAAGAATGACTTAACAACATATTGTGAAGATGTTTGCCTGCATTTATTGAAATCCAGTCACACATTCCAGTAGGCAACAGTCTAACCCAGCAGGTAAAGCCATACAAACCAAGAGTTTTAATAGAGCATAAGTCCGACTTGCAAGAGCCCACTCCCCCTAGCAGGTGAGACGCTGAGGTTAATGGCCTCCTCCTGGAGGGAGGATGGAGAACCACGGAGTCTCGATTGTGCCAAGTCCGCGATAATCAACTCTACATCCTACCCTCCCTGAGATTAGAAGATACACAAGGCTGTGCAGTCCCCACCCTCTCTCACCACACGCTTAACTCATCTCTTCCGGGTTCCACCAAGACCGGAAATGCCACGTTTCAAAGGGGAGTGTGCTGGTCAACCAGGGAATTCAGGAGAGCAGCTTCAGGACCGCTCTTCTAAAACCTTATCCCTATGGAAACTGGTGGCTGCTGCTCTCAGGGCAAATGGTAAGGGGGGGGTGGGGGGGTGATCAAGCCAGTTTTGTTCAAGGGCATCACACGGATGATCTGGTCATACGAAACCCCTCAAATGCTCAGCGCTTAACTGTCCAGCCACAGTAGCCCATGAAATGAATACTCCCTTCCAAAAGAGTAACATCACTCCTGCCTTACGGTTTCTAAAGTCCAGACAAATAGTTTGAGGCTGTTCACTTCTCAGTGTCGGTGGAGACAGAATGGACAGTGGAGTCTTCTGGAAGGCGAGAAGCCTTAGCAAGGACGAGGAAAGAGAAGGGCCACTGGGTGTGGTTGCTCAGGGCTCCGCCCACCATCAGTCTAGGTGCTGCTAGCCAGGAGATCCTCTGCCAGCCTTGGACCTGAGCAGAAGAAGCTGTGGTGGCCACTTTCACACTCCTGGGTCCTTGTTCCCACAGCTGCCCATTTCAGGCCCCCTTCCAAATCTCAGGGGCAAGAAATGAACACATTTCCTTGGAGGCTGCCTGTGATCCGGCACCTGAGACGGCTTAAGAAGAGCACAGCTAATGCTCCCTTGGCTTCCTGTGGCCGCTGTTCTCTTCTGAGAACTTTCACGAATTCCGCACTTTTTTTTTAGCAGGTCTGTAATTAACCAGAGTTTGGGTAGAGTGCAGTGGGAGACGGATGGTGGTGACAGATTAATAGCAGAGCTCACTGTTTGGGGTATAAATTACATATTAAAAAGTGTCTAGCACAACTAACTTCGTGTCAAGTTGATTTAACGTGTCAATAAAGAGAAACACACGCACGCATGCACACACACGTGCAAATCAACTGGCGTAGCAGCAATATCTGTAGGTCCTTTGTGTTGACTCTGGGACCTACCTGGTTGATGGTTGGCCGTCCCTGCTTCTTTTTGGAGGTAGTGTCCAGGCCCCAGAGAGAAGAAAACCTGCTCCTTCGCTTGCTTGCAGACCTGGACATGGCCTGAGTTCGTCTTCTCACTCCAATCTCACCCGTGCGAGCTGCCACCTGGGATCGGTTAAGACAGAAGAAGCTACAGGAGAGGTCTATCAAGACTGACAGGGGTGCCTTGGGTTGCCGCACAGTCCTACCCAGTGCTCAAAGCATTAATCTATGACTCTCACACGCGGAGATCCTGGGACCCGTCACTGATGCAAAATGGAAAATCGGCAAACACAATCACTGTAGGAAATCAATAAAAATAAATAAAAGGGCAACAAACTACATCGTGTTGCTAAGAGTTAGTTGTTCTCTCCAGTCGGCTTGACCTACTAGAGCGAAAGCATAGAACCACACACATTTCTGGGGATGCTTTCTAAACGCTCCAGAGCAGTTTCTGCATTTTAATTAAAAATGATACCAGGGTCGGTCTAATCCAGCAGATTTCTGGTTCCTGTGAGTCTACATTAAATCTAAACTAACTCATCTCCTCTGTCTGTTGGGATCTCTTCGATCTCTCAACCTGTATGAAACCATCCTCTTTGCGAGGCGAGCAATCGCTGCCCCAGTATCACGGTCTCCACTAGAAAATTCCTAATGTAGCTGGGCACTTGGCCAAGGAGTCCAAGTTGGCTTCTTTTCCTTGTAGCCGAGCATGGGCTGGGGACTGTCTCTGTTAATGGGACAGCTTCTAGGAAATGTTTTCAGAGGAGGGGGCTTTCTCTTCTCTTCAGTGCAGCTCATCCCTGGTGATGAGAAGGACAACAGCACAGCCTAAAGCATCAGGCTTCTCCAGGATGGAAGACCAAGGAGAGGGAAGCAACCACCTGGCCAGACCGGACCAGTGGGTGCAAACCCAGACCCGCAAAGCTTCTCCTCTCTCTCTCCCTCATTTCATTGTGCTGGGGATTGAACCCAAGACCTGATACATGTGGGACAAGCACTCTACCACTACATCCAAGCCTAACAAAGGTACTGATGAAGGGAGAGGGTTTTTCTCTCATCGAGTATACATGCATTTTCTCCCCTCTACACACACACACACACACACACACACACACACACACCTGCTCTTTGCTGCTGGAGGGGAATGTCTTAGAACCTACTTGTCATAGACTCCCGCAGGGGCAACTCCCAACGTGACAGATGCCCAGTGGTAGCAGCCTCAGGGATGAAATGGCGTTGGGTAACACAGGGGCCCTCCCAGCCCTCAGCACGCTGGCCACAAGACATTTTCCTGAGTCGTCAGTATTGACAGTATCAACACAGAAGCAGCTGAGGGAGTAGACGGGCAAGGACCCCCACATGCACTCAGAACTGGAGCCAGAACAGCTTTTTGGCCAGGGCATTAGGGAGAAGGGTTTTGGACTCAGATGAAAACAGAAGGATGCAGGAGCTGAAAGGTCTTGCCTTGTCTCGGCTAAGTACTTAAGAAACAAAGATCAGAACATTGAAAAGTGGGAGCAAGACTCCCGTGGGAAATTTTATGAGAAGGACTGTAACTTACACTCCTTCTTGAGGTACTTTAGGGGGAAACCCACAAATAGAAGGTATCATAAAGCATGTCAAATGTTCTGGTCTCTACTTTCTACGCTGAAGGTGAGCAAAGCTTGTGAAATGATTAAATCAGAACATGCTGACATATGTGTGCTACCATGGCTGTGTAAACAGAGAAGAAATGGTGTTATACTTTAAAATCCAAACCAGATCAGCTGTTTGGTCCCAGCCCATTTACAAACAGCCAGATCTACTTGTAAGTACCAAGTCTGTCTGTCTGTCTGCCCCCGTGCCACACACAGGTAGCCAAGAGGAGTCGGCACCCCACATCCATGGATTCGGGCAATGTCAGACCAAAATTATTCATAAAAAGTAGTTCCATATGTACTGAGCATGTGAAGCCATTTTCCTCATCATTATTCAATAAACAATATAGTATAAGTATGTGCACGCCATTAATTAGCATTGCATTGAGCACTGTTAAGTAATCTAGATAAGGTTCAAAGTGCATGAGAGGATGCCACATGATGTAAGACACGTGGCCACCCCCTTTGGTATCCCAGAGGGTCCGAGTGTCACTCCTCTGAGGATGCTGAGGAATGACAGTCACAGCAGGCTTGTGTTAGCCTGCTCATTTCCTTCCCAGCATGCCTCACTGTCGGCACTCACCGTGTTCCATTAACTGCGTGTGTCCTTCTTCCCGGCTCTCCTACGTGAACGTGAGCTCCCGTGGGACGGACAGCCTCTCTGCGTTCTTTGCTCTTAAAACCCTCACCACAAGGCTAGCAACTGACACACGCCAGGGGTGTGTGTGTGTGTGTATATATTTGTCAATCACATAAATAAATAAGACATTTAAAATTAAATGGTGCAGCGGCAACAACTTAAAAAGTAGCGCTTGTATTGAGAAGCTCGGGGGGAGGAGAAAAGCACAGGGAAGAGAAACCGGTGTACACAAACACTCCCAGAGACTGACTTAGGCGGCTTCAAAGACTCCAGCATTATTCTCAAGCGCTCAGGCCTTGTGGGCCATAAGGGTAACCCTCCCCCTCGCCCCCACGCCAGACAATAACGACCAGAGGGGTACAGAAAGCAGGCTGGCAGAAGAGCTGCCGGACAAGAGGTCCCGGGGTTCTCAATGACCGGCCCACACAATGCCTCCTCTGTGGCGGGCACCTGATGGCTTTATCGGTCAGCTCATCTGAGCAAACAAGAACAATGATAACCTTTCTTCAAAGAGTACAGCACGGACCCTCCAGTTAATGAAGGCAAATCACTCAGCATGACGGGGATCTCCTAGTGAATGGGGCTCCCATTGTAGCTCAAAGCCCTCCCCTGGCCCTGGTACCCTAGCACCTCCTCCTTCCATCCACCCTCCACTGAAAAGGAGGGGGCAAATATCCTAGACAAAGGAGGAATTGAAGAATGCTTCAACTCCCATTGAGAGGAGGGGGACCCTTAGGGTCAAATGACAAGGAGAGATGGGGGGCGGGGGGTGGGGGGAGCGAGGTATCCAATAAATCAGATTAAAATTCTGCTTGGGATGTTCTGCAGAAGCTGATACAGAAAACAGAACCAGATACCCAGTACAGTATCCTAACTTGTTCTGTCTAAAATAAAAGCATTCCTGCGCAGATTGGCAAGGATGCACGGACACCATGATTTGTACTACAGGAAACCGAGCAAAGGAACCGAGGGGTGGACTCACGGAATGAAACACTATTCTTCCAAATAACAGCAAAAAATCTCCAAGAATCACCAGCTCAACCTCTTCTCCTACAGGGCAAATTTAACTCACCTGCCGCCAAATGAAAAGAGTGCGTACATCACAGACATTAAGAGAGGGGAACTTAGGGGGCCCATAGATCAATTACAGACAAGCAGCTCGATGGTTTTTCCTTGTCTGTTTCAGGAACATAAGCTTCAGTGGCTTGTAAGAAAATAATCAAAGCATCCAAGTGTGAGGTAGGAGGCAAACTGGATTTCTTCACGTTCTATCACGTGACAGTAATGGGGGGAGGGATGTGGATGCTGGAGATGGACAGGTGGTGTCTCACTGAGACGAGCCTGCCTGTTAATAGAAATAAATAAGTAAACACTCTTGATTAGGGCATTCTGACAGGAGTGAAGGGAAACCTTTTATCTCATTTCCCCCACACAAAATAAAGATTTGGCTAAGTTATAAACTCGTGCTCAGGTCTCAAAGCAACAGACCCAGATCGTGCCATAAGTAAAAAAACTGGGTTCACAACTTAGTTCTCACTTGCCCAGCTATTACTTACAGGGAAAACCAAAACTGTAAAAGCCAGGTAGAGAGGTAGGCAAGCAGGCCAGGGGCAGAGCTGTAATTAGCAGAACAAGATAGTTTTAACAAACTCTAGAAATTGGAGTGAGACCTCTTTCAAAATGCAAATCTCCCCCTAATTATCTGAATGATGATGCTAATCTATTTACAAAGAACACAAATGCCCCAGACTGAATTATAACTCAGAATTCAGTGCAAGGGCATGGCAACACTCAGTTCACACTTCCCAAGGCAGCTCAGGACCCTGACACTTACTTAACATCTAATTCCACAGCAAATGTGTTACGGGCGTGGTATAGATCTGAAGGTCTGAACATGGAGAGGCTAAAACATGTTGCTTGTACACTGGTTTCCTCCTTTTGGCAGAAATGGGCCCAAAGTACATAAAGCAGTCCATAATTTAGCAAGTCCTCAGGATTACAGGCTGTAAACACACAGCACAACCACACACTCTGCTGCTCCAGGAGGCAGACAAAAACTCCCTTCTTAGGGTGGGTGTCCAGCTATGTGCCCTGGAAACGTGGCCTTCCTCTACACGTCATGTATTTATAGCCATCAAACTGTGATAAAGTAAAGTGAGACCTCCAATCCACAAAGATCTGTGTTTAATGTATGGTGTGTGGGATCGGGGGAGGATACATCCATGCATGACAGAGAACAGATTTATATGCATGATAGAAAGCCCTCCATTTACCATTTACATAAGGTTACTTACTTTATGGTTTCAAATGCCAAAACTGCCTAAAAATGCCATCTGTCCACAAACTCTGCAGTGAACACATCTCAGGACAACACCTCTATGTGGCTGGGGTGTAGCTCAATGGTAGAGTGTTTAGCATGTGTGAGGTCCTGGGTTCCATTCCCAACTCCATGGGGAGGGGGGTAGACGGGGGTAGAAGAAGGGGCTGGAGAGAGGGTGCCTTTTGCATTTTCTTGGTACCATAGTTTTAACCCTATCCAGAGAGGTTGAATTACATTTCCACATAGGTCCAAATGCTATCTTGCATGCACTGCCAAGTGAAGACAGTTTGGAAATCTGCACGGGGCAGCAAAGCAAGCGACCAGTGGAGACACTTCCGTCAAGCCCTGTTCAGGATTAAACACAAAGATGAGTAGTTTTCCAAAACGCATCTGCTTCTACTCACCAGGGCATGAAAAGACGACACTGAAAAGATCCCAAGGCGGCCCATTGCCACTTTCGTCGGCCGGCTGGCAAAAGCGAGTAGCCTTTTGGGGTTTGGCAGCTCCCCGCCCTGGAGGCTGGCTAAGTAACAGCGGAAACGGAACAGGTCCATCTGGAACTGTTCGAGATTCTGCTCCCAAACAAAGATCTACAGTAGTGGGGAAAAAAAAAAAAAAAACAGAGAGAAAGGTCAGAAAAGGCGAAAACAAATGTTAGCTACCTTTTCCCACAAAAATCGTACAGAACTATTTATTGCTAAGGTACTAATTAAATCCTTGAGGGTAAACAACAGGGCCCCTAGGTCTCCTAGGGGGCATTTTTTCTTCTTTGCAAAGAGCTATAACCATAAACTCAGCATCATAAACATAAAACACATTGTTAGTTATTAGTGCCCTGTTAGCATAGATTTCACAGAGATTTTTGTGAGGTGGGGGAGCATGTTTAGTATGTCAGTCTGACCACAAACCTAAGACAGACAGAAAGAATTAAAATGTAGGGATCTCCAGTACTAAGGAACTCTCATGTCAACTAAGAGAGGACTTTTACTAAGAAAAGTAAGGCTGCCAGGTGGTGGTGGCGCACGCCTTTAATCCTACCACTCAGGAGGCAGAGGCAGGCGGATCTCTGTGAGTTCGAGGCCAGCCTGGTCTACAAAAGTGAGTTCAAGGATAGCCAGGGCTGTTACACAGAGAAACCCTGTCTCGAAAAACAAAAAAGAAAAGTAAGGCCAATTACAGGTCAAAAGCAAACAAACCAAAAGCTTTAGGAAAAGTGGATGGTATAAAGAAAGGGTGGAGGTAGGAAACTGTCAATGGTGGAGATCCAGGTACTGGTGGTACAGAGTTCCACCCAAAACTAGTGTCCACACATGTCCTTGTCACTCACAGCCGCAAAATATCTTCTGGCTAATGATGTGACATTCGAGTAAGATCACAGGAGAGAGAGTACGTTCAAGAATAATGTCCTGGCATGGAGTGAAAGCTCATGGGACTAGAGAGATGGCCCAGCCATTGAGAGCATTGGCTGCTCTTATAGAGGCCCTGGGTTCTGTTCCCAGCACCCACACAACACTTCATTTCTAGTGGTGCTGATGCCCTCTTCTGGCTTCTGTGGACATCATGAACGGAGGTGATGTGCAGACACACACCAGGTGACACCTATATACGTAAAATTAAATCTTTAAAACAGACAAAGTGAAAGCTGAGAGAGAGGTCCCTGGTGACATCTCCCTTTTTAATCTTGATTAAAATCAGTGTGAAGACACATGCTCATGACGGCAGTGTTCAAAGCGGCCAAGAAGCTGCTCACGGCTCAAACGCCCATCAAAGGAGAGATGGATGAACAGTGCTACATGTGTGCAATGGAAGAAGGAACGGCCCCCCCGAAGAGGTGACAGTCCTGAGTGTAAGCTCTGCTGCAAATCCAGCTGCAAAAAGCTATGCGGCATGAAGGAGGCAGGCACAAGGGTCACACACTAAGCAACTGCATCCCTGTGGAGCATCCCAAAGAGACAAACCATTCAAGACAGGATGCAGGGACAGAGAGGCCCAAACACTTAACAGGAGCTGGGTTCCTCTTAGAAGGAGATGAAGAAAGTGCCCACCTACCATTGCAACATATTGACTGCGGCTAAACTGCTGCTCCCTTTACGTGGTTTTTTGTTAAGTGCACTTGCCTGAATTTAAAAACTGCAGTGGCCGATAACAAAGAACGGAGCAAAGGGGCCCTGTGCATCCTGTAGCTGTAGTGACTGTGGACAAACTTTCTTCTTGTCATGACTTCTTAAACTATAGCACAGTTATTGACATAACATTTATATCTATTCGGTATCACACATGATCTAGGGATGAATTAAAATGCATGAGAGGATGTGTGTAGGTTATGGACGCACGCTGCGCCATTTTATGTCAGGGACTGGGGCACACCCAGATTTGGGTTTCTGCGGGGGCCTTGAAACCAATTCACAATGGGTAGAGGGGGACAGCTGTATGGACTTTTTAAAACACTTTTTTTTAAATTTAGGAATCCTAATCTAAGTTTCTTGAGGAATCAAGAATGAATTCTCCTCATAGCCTAACTCCATGATAAGGTGGGGAAGAAAAAATCGTAGATTTTCAAATACACGGATTCCCCTAAAATCACAAGGATTAGTAGGAGCTGGAAGGCTCCTCTCCCTGATTTCTGCCTTCCCTTCAATGTCACACTGTTCCCTTTAGCTCATAACAATCAACTCTGAACAAAGGACGAGGAAGCCGACAGTCACAACAAAGAGTTGAACAGTCTGGGTGACAGGCTGCTGCCATAGTGAAGGAAGATCTTTCAAGAATCCGAGGCGGCGGAAAAGCAGGAAAGCCCTAACAAATCTACCAGCTCCGAGCCCGGAGGAAGAGTCACCTGGTCTAATATGGTCTTCTTCTTCTTCGAGTCGGTGACTGAGGACAGCTGCATCTCACCCATCTTCTTCATCTTCTCATCCATGTCGATCTTCTGCTCCAGCTTCTTGATCTCTGACTTGAGGAGGCGGAGAGTGTCTTCCTTGTGATGGTGTCTGGCGACGGCAGCTGCGCAGGCAGAGTGGATGGCGGTGATCCAGTTTTCCAGCTCTGTCTGGCTGGTGGTCTACACGAGGAGGGTGCAGGGAGAAAGAGGCACTTTTTAGAAGATGACAGAGACTAACAGTGTGTGTTCGGGGAAGCAGTGTCTCTGAGGCAAGGTGTCAGGTCTGCACACACACACACACAGTACCTTGACTTACCCCTTCTAGAAATCCACCAAAGAAGGCCAGCCCCACCCCCACCCCCTCAAGTGGTACCCTCAAAGAAGCCGCATGTTACCCAACGTACCTAGGAAATTCTCTTGCTTAAATGATACTTCTAAAGAACGTACCCCAGTTTTAAGCAGCTATATATAAAAACTAGGGTTGGGGGAAGCGTTTCAAGGCAACCAGGATCGATACTGCCTTAGGGAACTCCAAGAATAGTAGCAAGAGCCCAGCAGCCAGCCTCAAACTACCAAGAGTTTGTTTAAGAAGAGCACTAAGATCATGCCATATGACGCACACCAAAGGACAGGTACCCTCCACATGGACAGGTACCCTCCCCGTGGGTAGTATAAGACACAGATGCTCTAGGAGGCAAAAGGGGCCAAGTTTGGGGGCAAAAACTCATGCAAAATTATTATATGCAAAATCATTAGAAACTCACAAGATCTGCACAAGCTCAAGCCAGATCAAACCCCAACACGAAAGAGGGGGGGTGGGGTGGGCACAAGTCCCAAGGTTAGCTGAAGAGCTATTGTGGTTTGGTTGCCGCTGGGAGAGGGGGAGTCCGTTTGCTTTAATGGTGTGACGCCTGGTGCGTCAGCCATGCTCCAGGGTAGGCAGGCCCCACACCAAGGAGTGGTCTCCAATACAAACTGGGTTAAAAGATCCAGAGAGGCAGGCGGTGGTGGTGCACGCCTTTAATCCCAGCACTCAGGAGGCAGAAACAGGCAGATCTCCATGAGTTCGAGGACAGCCTGGTCTAGCCTGGTCTATGCAGCAAATTCTATAGAGGACAGCCAGGGTGACACAGAGAAACCCTGTCTTGAAAAAAAAAACCCAAACAATTAAATAAATAAACATTGAGAGGGACAGGAAGAGCAAGAGGGGGGAGGGGAAAGACAGAGAGGGGAATGGGTGAGGAGGAAGATGGGGAGGACCTGGGAGGAACTGGCGAAGGGGAAAATATAATAAAATAGATTATATAAAATTCTCAAGGAGGCAGGGCGGGTGGTGCACGCCTTTGATCCCAGCACTCAGGAGGCAGAGCCAGGAGGATCTCTGAGTTCAAGGCCAGCTCTGGTCTACAGAGCGAGATCTAGGACAGACACCAAACTACACAGAGAAACCCTGTCTCGAAAAACCCAAAAAACAAACAAACAAACAAACAAAAAAACCTCAAAGAATAAAAACACTATGTTTTTTTAACTAGGATATCAAGTAGGAAATATTTTTAAATGTAGAGATGCTAGATTTTTCTAGGTGCTCCCATAAGCCCAAAGAATTCAGTATAGGCGAAGGCATCAGCTCAGCCGAAGAAATGATTGACTCGGCCATTTCTTAGTAGCACTACGGTGGCTGCTGTCATCATTTGTTCCTCTGAGGCACTAACCTCTATTTCTACCTCACGAGTGGGTTGGCTTACAAACAAAATTCTTTTAACAGGACCAACACAAATATCTTATAACAGGACCCTCCCCAAACACCTCAGCATATTGGTAGCTAAGAATGGAAATTTTAGTCTAAGGACCACTGAAGCCATCAGTAATCCTGCTGAATCTGGGAGTTTTGTATTCATCCAAAGAAATGGCATCCAATATTAAAAATGTTGTCTTGCAAGAAAACTAGCTCACAAAATTAAAAGACCTGACAGCGGCTGTGTTTACAGAGAGAGACACATAATCCGGAAGGAGTTGTGTGTGTGTGTGTGTGTGTGTGTGTGTGTGTGTGTGTGTGTGTGTGTGTGTGTGTGTATATGTGACTGTATACGAACACACAAATCCACTTTCGAAGTATTCCTTTTCCAGGTCCTTATCTTACAACTTCCCCCTTTAAAAAAAAACATCGAGTTCAAGCTCCTCCCACAAACAATGAGACCACCAAGCCTTGCTGCCAGGGTGATGTGGTGTCTGACCCCTAGACCTCTCAGGGGAGGCTGTTTCATTGGCTGGGTTATTTTTCCTGGTTTTACTTGTTTACCTGAGTCTTAGAGGGAGGTTTGGACTGCCTAGGTGGCCCAAACTCTTGATCTTTTATCCTCAGCCTCCTGAGTGTGAGCTACCTAGCCTGTGTACATATTTACTTTTGCTAGAAAAAGAACCAACTTAGATGGAAAAGTAATAATAAGGATTATTTTTCTGGAAAAAAATAAAATAAAACAGTAACTCTAGTGATGGCAAATGTTTGAAGCCCTAGGCAGTTTCTGTTCACTCAGAATGAGGATAAATGCTTCAGAAAGCAGTTAAGTACAACTGACTGAAGTTGGGTATATGAATGCCTTGTGGCCCACTAACTGAACTCACGGTATAGAACTAACTAAATATGCTCATATGTCCAGCAAAATTAATGTACCAGGACGTGCGCGCGCACGTACACACACACACACACACACACACACACACACACACACACACACACACACACACACACACTGAAGCATTTTTTAAACAATTTATTTTATGTGTGTTTTGCCAGCCTGTGTTTGTGTACCATATGTGTGCAGCCCTGGAGGCGGCCAGTAGAGGGCGTCAGAACTCCCGGGAAAGGAGTTAAAGAGGGGAAATCACTTGTGCTTCCCTCCTATGAGGACCTCAGCCCAACTCAGCCAAGGGCCAGGCTGTCCCTTCTCTCTTCCAGGAAGTGGGAAGCAGGGAGATGGGGTTTTAGCTTAACAGTATTTACCCAGCACTCCCAAGGCTCTGGATTTGATTCTCAGCACACAAACAAATAAATGGAGCTGATGTCAACTGAAACTAAATATGGTAGTTTGTAATTGTCCCCAAAATCTCACAGGGGTTGGCAATAGTAAGAGGTTCTGGCTTTGTTGGAGTGGGCATGGCCTTGTTGGAGGAAGTGTGTCTCTGTGGTTTTGGTTCTGAGGTTCCCTATGCTCAGGATACTGCCCAGTGTCTTAGTTGCCTTCCTGTTGCCTGCAAATGTAGAACTCCCAGCTACTCCTCAAGCACCATGTCTGCCTGCACGCCGTCATGCTCCACACCACGATGACAATGGACTGAACCTCTGAAACCGTAAGCGAGCCACGCCATTTAAACGTTTTCTTAAAAAGAGTTGCCATGGTCATGGTGTCTCTTCACAGCAATAAAACACTAAGACACTAAACTAAATGTCATCAGTCTTGGAACTTACTTCTTCTAAAGGCCAGCAGATGGTGACTGCCACGGGCTGAGATGGAGCTGGGACCAATGGAAAGTTATATGATAGGTACAGAATTCTGGTGTAGCCAAGAGGAGAAATTGTTCTGGAAGCAGACAAAAGCAACACGGTATAGCAATGTGAATGTGTGTGATGCTATGGACTGGGCGTCCACATCCTTGGGTTCAGATGGAGCCATTTTATGTGTATTATATGATAACCAAAAAGAAAAGAATACTTTAGAGGTGAAAAGGGAGCTAGGGATGGGCACGGCTGGCCAAGTGCTTGCACACAGGGTCTGAGTTTGAGCCCCAGCACCCACTGAAAAAGCTGAGTGTGAAAGTGCACACTTGTAATCCCAGGGCTGAGAGAGGGACAGAGGAGAATCGGAGACTGATGGCCAGGCTAGCCTATCCTAACCAGAGAGCTCCGGGCCAATGAAAGACCCTGTCTCAAAAAAGAAAAAGAAAGAAAAAAAAAAAAAAAGAGTGGAAGGCTGTCCCTAGGTTTAAACACACACATAATCACTAGTACACACATAAAAATAAATAAATAAATAAATAAATAAATAAATAAATAAATAAATAAATAAATAAATAAATAAATAAATAAATTGCAACAAGGAGAGGGGGAAATGCCAGTCCTCCAGAGCTGGAGAAACGTGTGATGACAGCTTTATGAAAAATGTAGCCATCGGCCCCTGTAACCACCAAGCGTGTCTCAGCCATCTGACTCTGGAAGCCTGTCAGTGGCTGAAGGCATTTCCATCAGTGAGAATTTTCGCTCCTGCTGTCCTGTCTAAATAAAACAGCAGTCCCTCCCTGCCATTCTCGATCACTAAACCAAACCCATTCCTGAGCAAAACAATTCACTAAATGAGCTCTGGAGCCCAGCCGGTCCTTTGGCAGCGGCAGGAGGGAGCCCTGTGTTGATGAGGGTGGGAAACCTGTGTGCTCACTTCCGTGGAGAAAAGTCCTGACACAGTCCATCAGTTCACAGGCTCCCGAGTTCTGACGTGACTTCAGCAGACTGCTAACTTAATGCAGCGGGGCCCAGGAAGGCCTCTCCCCAGACTAAAACTCTTGACACTTGGAAAAGCTGCTCAACCCATTAGCCTGTACCGCCTCCTCACGGCAGGCAAATGTAGTCAGAGATATAATCAAAGAAAGAGCTCACCGTCAGAGCCCAGTGGCCACAAAGGCAGGAGAGACCACCCACACCCACCCATATGCCCTGGCCCACCCTCACTAGGCATCCCCATCCATCACACAAATGGCAGTGGACAGGTAGAGAGAATGGTTTTGTGATTCTTCCTCTGCCTTCTGGGGATGCTATAAATACTATATGAAGTTCAGTGAGGAGGAAAAAGAGAAGGTCTTGCCAACAGATAATCAGAAAAAAAAATGTATTTGCATAAGAGCCCCTCTGTGTGCGGAGATATGATGAGGCTCGGGGCTTCATTATGTATTTAAATAGATCCAGCGTCAATTACCCAGTGCATGGAGGACCCTCGGTGATTTCGGATAATCAATGGTTTACATGAGCGGCAGGAGAGAAAGGCAGGCTCATTGCAAACTGGAGAGATCCTGGAGAACCAGCGCCAGGCCTGAGGAACTGAGACTGGGAGGAAGCTGAGTCGAGAAAAACTCAAGAATCATCCTACGAAACATTCAACTTCTATTTTCAATTTTCAAAGAACCAAAGAGAA